TATTTTAATTATAATATTCTCAAAGTTGTTTTGGACTTTATCATTATGCATACGCTCTTGCAGCACTTCGACGGACGCGAGGATTGTACCTGCGTCGTGCACGCTTGCACTATTAGAGGTTACCTTGCGTTTTTTCACTATTACTTATTGTATTTTGCGTTTTCTTTCACAAAAACTTCCCTCACTTCCTTCCCAGCTTGTAGCTATTGTACTTATATATTTTATTGAGTATGGACGAGAACCGGTATGTACCTGCGCGGTCTGCCCGTTGACGAGATTAAAGAATTTTGTATTGCTTTTGAAGCATCCCTCTGAAGGGTGGGCGGGAAGAGATAGAGAGGTTAAGAAGAAAGGGAAAGATAGAGGACGTTTTGTCCGGAGACTCCTAGCGGACTCGTGAGTAGGGCTTTCTAGGAGGCCCGTGCCTTAGACGCGGGAGAAGCTGAAAGTACTCAGGTCAGTTTTTGAGGACTAGCGAGAACTTGCGGTTAGTCCGTCCCTCTGGTGGCAGAGCGTAGGAGGGTCGCTACAGCTTTTTTGACAATAGACAATAATACGAATTATCAAAAAATGATTGGACGGATTTCGTTTGTCAGTGACATGCTATTAATTTGGATGAAAAAAAAAAAAAACATTGCCTACAGCACACCGAGTTTCCAAGAGGCACCCATCTAACAAGGAATGTTCGCGAACGGTCCGGCTTCGATTTTGATGAAACTTTGTACACTTATAAAACAGTCAAAAATAATCGACACGTATTTTTTTTTTAGCTGCGGTAACTCGAGTTTACGGGGTGAAACCACCCCTTGAAGTTTTGGCTCGAAACGGCTTAAACGAAGGGAATATACACCTATAACATCGGCTAGGCGATAGTATTTCTTCGCGACATTCATATAACATACTGCGGCAATTGTCGTACTCTGAATGGCGTACGATTCTGCTATGCATTCTGGACCACGGCTTCGAATATAAGAACATCGATGGTGTGGGCAAATACACTTAATGAAATATTTCACTTTAAAAATTATTCCTTCAGCTAAATGTATACAACGAAATTGTTGCGAGATGCTCCCTTTTTCCGACTCGGGTGTCAGAGTAACGCCGTGAGGGTGGAATTTCCTGACTCGTGCGACTTTCGGTGATCCACGAGGGAAACGTCGGTAGCGATATCCATTGGAACGGATTCGTCCCAATCTACGCGTAATTGCCACAGTCGTTGCATCAGAAGTTTCGCCCATACTATTACTGGTCCTATTAATCCTAACGGATCAAACAATTGCGCGATTTGTGACAGTATTGTCCGTTTGGTTAGTCGCGTTAATTTGTTTACTGGTTTTAATGTGTATATCAATGCGTCGCGTGATGGATTCCAATGTATTCCGAGAATTGAGGTGGTCTCGGTTGCGTCTAGACGCACAACCGTGGTATCGAGTCGCGGTTCTGATAAACCCCCCTTTTTCGCGAGTTGTACGACTTCGTCGCGAATCGACTCTGCCTCATGGTGGGTACGTGCTCCAGTTAATAAGTCGTCGACGTAAAGATCTGCTTTCATTATGGCTAATGAAATAGAGACGGAAATAGAGACGCCTCGTCATCGGCTAATTGATGAAGCGAGTGTATCGCCAGAAACGGTGCCGCGGATGTTCCGTATGTCACTGTGTTGAGTGTGTCGGTCTTGATGGGTTTGATTGGATCATCTCGCCACAATATCTTTTGACATTGGCGATCGTCTGGATGAATCCACGTCTGTCGGTACGTTTTGGTGATGTCCGCGGTTAAGACGTATGTGTGCGAGCGAAAGCGAATTATTAACGCGAAAAGATCGTCTTGTATTGTGGGGCCAACCATGAGCGTGTCGT